GGAATACTCATACTTCGCAATGTTGTCCATAGCTTGTCATGATCCACACAATTAAGAAGCTTTTGTGTAGTCAATAAAGCACAATGTGGACAGGATTCCTCCCTTAGAAAATGCTTCAAACTCTACTTATTTGAACTTGCTGTTTTGCTTCTAAATTAAAAAAAAATGTAAACATTACCAAAGATGGTGTAAAGTAATTAGCACTTCAAATATTTTTTTAAAATATCACAATAGCACATTACCATTATAACTTTTTTATATTTGGTAAATAAAACTATGTATGTTAGTATCTTATTCTAAAAACACCTTGGTGGTGACGTAGGCTAAGCAATGCAAGATAAGCATTGCTCCTCAAGATCAGTGCTTGACACCAAGCAGCGGCTCTGAGGGATCAACTCAATGGCAATGGGTTTGTTTGATTTCGTGTATTACAAACCAATATCTGCTCCCTCCTGACAACATGTCCAAAGTATGAGAGATGAAGTTTGGCCATCCTGGCCTCCAAGGAGAACTCTGGCTGCACTTCTTCCAACACAGATCCATTAGTTCTTTTGGCAGCCCATGGCACTTTCAATATTCTCCTCCAACACCATAACTCAAAAGCATCAATTATTCTACGGTCTTCCTTATTAGGGACCAGTCGCTTGAGAAGGATATCATGTTTGGTAAGGTGGAGGGTCAGAGAGAAAGAGGAAGACTCCTAGAGAGATGGATTGGCCAAGTGGCAGCATCAATGGACTCGAGAGTGGCAAGAGTAGTGAGGTTGGCCCAGGACCCAGCAGTGTTTCATTCTTCTGTGCATAAGGTCACTATGAGTCGGTACTGACTCGATGACACATAACAACAACAAACCAATAGCTATAAATATATATGACTTGCCTTGTAAATGTAAAAAAAAAAAAAAAAAAACACTGAAAAGGGAAAAATTGAGTCATCAACTAGTTATTTATCTATTTGTTACCCAAAGGACTGATCTAATGTTTTTATGGTGCCATCTAGTCCACATCATTGTACAGAAATTTTGCTTTTACTCATAAATGCCTACCTCAAATTTTAAATGCATTCAGTAAGTTTCCATTATCAGATTCATTCAAAATTCATGTCTCTTCTCTGAATCTCCAAAGAAAATTTTACATTCAGACTTCATCATAAATATATCTGTGGCTATATACCCTGATAGCATTATTAAGTCAGTGACTTACTTAGTTTTTTAACTAAGTAAGATGTTGTATATAAGAGATGAAGATGTTGTATATAAGAGAATTTGGGAGTGGGCAACAGAATAAAGCTCCATCAATGAGTGGGATTCAGAACCTTTATACATATATGTTAATATTGTTAAGTGCCGTCAAGTTGTTTCCAATTCATAGCAACCCTGTATAGGGCTTCCAAGGAGCAATTGTTAGGTTTGAACCACTGACCTTATGGTTAGCAGTCCAGTGCTTATCCTATTGCACCACACCAGGACTCCTCATATGTACATGTTGTTGTTAAGTGCCATCAAGTTGGTTCCTACTCATAGCAACTCTGTATAGGATTTCTGAGGAGCATCTGGTGATTATGGCTAATAGACCCAAACATTAGATTTTTTTGAGTCTTATAAAACCTTTGTCAAACAGTCAGCAGTGGTCTCTGAGAAACAAGATTGCTATATGATGGATTCTGTCTATTTTCAGTGTGTGTGAGAGAAGGTGACGTTTTAGCATTCATATACGCATGCACCACATTGCACCATGTTGTTATAGGTGGGCTAACAAACACAGTAACGTCATGTGGCAAGTGAAGAGACCAGTAAAAGGTGAGAACTAAGACCATCTGCCTTAATAAAATTTAGATAAAGTATAGACCACATCGTTCAATACGACTTTGTTGTGTGTTCCAGAATAACTTAGCATGGGAAATATAAGACTAAACCAATAATCTACTTCTTATTGTTGTTAGGTGCTGTTGAGTCAGTTCTGATTCATAGGGACTCCATGGCACTACAGAAGGAAACACTGCCCTGCCCAGCACCATCATTGTTAAGCTTGAGCCTATTACTGCTGCCCACTGTGCCAATCCATCTCATTGGGAGTCTTTCTCTTTTTTGTTGACCCAAAGAGCAATTCATTGAAGACAACAATCTGCTCATCTGAACAAACTTGCTTAATCAAATACATTTTATCGAGACATGCATCCAGATCCTTATCTCACTGAGTCTGCAAATTCTGAATGAACTTGTATATCACAAACTTTATCCAATCCCACCAGTTCTCCAACTTGAAGATTTAGAACCCAAAGTCCAATAGATACCCTATTTCATATTTTCCCATCTAAGTTGGGGCTTAGATTCTATCAAGGTGGTGATCTACCATTGTGTAGTGATTTTGAATAAATTTAGTTTTATTAGTTATTTGACAATATTATGGGTCATTCAACAAAGGGGAGCTTTATCAACGAGGTTGTATTTTCATATTTTATGACTACAGTTGATTGGTTTAAGTAAAATGGATGCTTCTCCTGAGTCTTGAGTATAAATAATCTGCTTTGCTCAAGAGGAATTGCCTAGAATTTAAAGAAATAAACAAACTAGTTTTGTCTTTAAAGCTGAAGGGAACAGTCCAGTTAAATAATTACAAGTTTTTGAGGGACTGAGGAAGGTCAGCAAAGCTACAAAATTGTGTAAAATATGTATTTTTCACTCATTCACAAAGACCCACAGTGTAAGTAGGTGAAGGCAGAACATGAAGATGAATTAATAGAGAGTCTGATTGCAGGCAGCTGAGAGGAGCTGAATGCCTAGGAAGGAAAGATGAAGGAAGCACATAAATAACTAACACAAGGTGAAACAGTGCTTCATACCATTCTAGAGGCATACATATGAATTGCTCTGGGTGTTCTGCTAGGGTTGGAGTCATTACTAACAGCATTTACATTCTCTAGGGCCTACCTACTCAAAGTGTGGTCCCCAGACCAGCAGCATCTGGCATAGCTGGGAGCTTTTTATAAATGTGCAATATCTGCCAACTGCAGACCTATTGACTTAGAATCTGCATTTTAACAAGATTTCCAGTCAATCTGTATGTACATTAAGATTTAGGAAGAACTGCTTTTGTATCATGTGTTAATGATTTACCTAAAAACTAAACTAAGCTTACTGCCATCCAGTTGATTCTGATTCATCGTGACCCGATAGGCTAAAGTAAAACTGCTTCTTAGGGTTCTAAGACTATAAATCTTTATGTGGGAGCTCATTAACTGATGGGTTTGAACCACCTACCTTGTAGTCCTGGGATGGTGTTGTGCGTTAATATGCTGGACTGCAGGTCTGTTTGAACTACAAGGTTGGTGGTTCAAACTCACCAGCCACTCCTTGGAAACCCTATACAGGGTTGCTATGAGTTGGAACCCACTCAACAGCACTTAAAAACAAAAACCTTGTAGTTAGCAGCCAAACACTTAACCCACTGCACCACTACCACAAGGCTCCTTTGCTTTACCTAAATATGTACATATAAATGTAGGCATGGGCTCCTGGTGTGGTGCTGTAGGATCAGCACTAGACTGCGAACAAGGTTGGCAGTTCAAACCCACCAGCTTCTCCTCAGAAACCCCACATAGGGTCACTATGAGTCGGAACCAACTTGACGGCACTTAGCAACAACAACAACAACAGCAACAACAAAATGTAGACAAAAATGTCTATCTTTAATCCTACATATAATTTAGTTGGCCATCAAAGCAAAGATGGTAACATCAGTAAAGCTGATTGAAAATAGTTGTTGTTATGTGCCATCGAGTTGGTTCCAACTCATAGCAACCTTGTATAGGGTTTCCAAGGAGTGACTGGTGAGCTTGAACTGCTGACCAAGGTTCAAAGCGACTTTGCAGTCCAGCACCACAGTGCCACACCAGGACTCCTGATTGAAAATATACTATATATATATATATATAACTTTTGGTGTGGCACTGTGGATCAGCACTGGACTACAAACCACAAGGTCGGCAGTTCAAACCCTCCAGCTGCTCCTCAGAAACCCTATACAGGGTCTCTATGAGTGGAAAAGACTAGATGGCACTTACAACAACAACAGCAGCATTGGTAGGTTCTCATATATATAGAGTCCTGGTGTGACACTGTGGGATAATGCACTGGACGACAAGGAACCGCAAAGTCAGCATTCAAATTCACCAGCCACTCCTTGGAAACCCTATACAGGGTCATTATGAGTCAGAACTGATTTGATGGCACTTAACCATAATAACAAATATATATATACTTATTTTATTATTTTTTCTTATTTCACCGTGTACTAAATATGTGTCTTTGGATGAGACAAATGGTGTAGAAATTCAGGTCTACATTTCAACACTGCTGAAGCTAAAAAGGGTATACATGGCTCTAGAAAGTGTTTCAGGATCCCTACCCACACTGGAAAGTAAAGGTCTGAACTGTTCTATCCTCTTCAAACTTGCTTTTCATATTTTTGCCTTTTAGGGTAAGTGGGGTAGTCTGGGTGTGTTGCTGCAGGATAAGCACTGGACTGCTAACTGCAAGGTTGGGGGTTCAAACTCAGCAGCCACTCCTTGGAAACCCTTTACAGGGTCACTATGAGTCACTCAGAACCAATTCCTCTTAACAACAACAACAGAGAAAGCAGGATCCTGGTGTGGCGCTATAGGATAAGCACTGGGCTGCTCACCAAAAACTTGTGAGCCTATCCACCAGCAGCTGTACAGGAGAAAGATGAGGCTTTTTGCTCTCCTAATGATTTACAGCCTCAGAAACCCTATACAAGGTGACTATGAGTTGGAACCTAGTCAACACAACTAATAACAACCACAACAATCACAGGGTAAAGTGATGAAAGTGTTGCTGGAGATGGTTGTGCAGTAAAATGCAATGTTTGGTATTTTAAATCCCAAACCAGCTAAATCAAGTTAGGCAATAAAACGTTGGTGAAAATATCAGAGATATGCAGAAAAAATTTAATCATAGGTAAAATACTGGTGGTAGCAATTGAAACCATCTTCAGAGAAAAGCACACAGATTTACTGGTACCTGTTAAAAAAAGATTTAATTGCATGTTGGCTATGGAAAAGTTTGATACACTACTAATAATGTATTAATTTAGTAAAACAATACTAATAATGGTATCACTAATAAGTGTTTGTAAAACAAGTGGGCCCTAGATGTACATGTCCTTCCAAGTTTATACTTTCAGCCTCAGGATTAATAACAAACTTCATTTCTATAATTGGTACTCATCTGAGTATATTCTCTGACTTTATACATATTTTCTGATTTGGGCCTTCCTTCAGGATTAAAATAGAGATTTTATGTTTTACTTGTTGCCCTGTACCAACCAATCATTGCTGCTAGGATAAATCATTGGATTCCTGAAAGTGGACAACTTTCACCTCCAAATGTGGCCTAACATCTCATTCTAGCTCCATATGTGTTTTACCAACAAGAGGTAATCACAGTGTGGGGCTGTCCAGTCGCTAATTGGCAAGCCACAGCTGTGGTCAGGTGTACTTGACCAATACAATTCTGTAATAGAGCAGATGTGTGCTGCTGGCATAGGGAATGGTGTTTGTCTGTGGATCCCCTTTTGCAGTCTTCATCTCTGGGCCTTGTTACCACACCATTGGCAGAGAAGGCCGATAATAGGTTTGTGAACATTGTGCAAACGAGGATTCAGATACTCTGGTTCTTCTGCCACATATGGACTTACTTTTAGTGTTTTAATGACCTCCTTTTGTTCCCCTTATATTATTGTATGCTTTAAATTGATTCAGTAAATCCTTTGCTTTGAACATTTTCATTTAGGTTGCACAGCCTTCTGTCTGTGACCACTGGGATCCTGTGTAGTGTAGTTGTGGGCTACATTTTTGGATCAAAGTGAACTCCCTTGTGATTCAAACCAGTGCCATGTACTGTCAAACACCTCATGGGTGGGTTTTTTTTTTTTTTTTTTTTTAAGTTTAGGGTGATGGTTTCCTGAGACATCTCAGTCAACTGACCTAATAAGGTTTTCAGTGTTTCTTTTATACCCTCTAGTTCATTGTATAATACCCGGGGTTTCAAAAGTTTGACAGCAGTCATGCAACATACATTAACTGGTCTGCTATGGCTCTGTGGGATAATGCACTACTTTGAATCACAAAGTCGGTGGTTCAAGCTCACCAGCTGCTCCTCGGAAACCCTACACAGGGTTGCTATGAGTCGGAAATAACTCAACAGCACTTAAAAACAGCAACAACAATTCTGCTGGAGCAGTAGAGTAAGAGGAATCAGGGATTTGAAGAGAAATTGGAATGTAGATCTGCATCTTTTGCAATGAGACCAGAATAAATGGTTGGTACCCAGTTAATTTGATCAAAGACTCTAGAAAAATCCTGATCAAAAGGTGGAAAATGTTGAATGGAATTTTAAGTTCTCATGAAATCCCAACTTTCTGGGAGTCATTCAGGCTGGATGACCATCTGAAACTACTGCCCTGAAACAATACTTAAAAGTTAAGTTAAAACTATCCCCTGAAGTCATTTTTAAACCAAACAAATTATTTAACTTCATTGATCAAGAATGTCTGCCTTGGGTATTGTGCTACTTTAAATAATTATAAGTGGTTAAATTGACAACAGCAACTCTACAGGTTACATGAGAAGCTTTTGTGGAGCTGTGGTAGGATAATTGGGAAAAGGAGAATGAAAATGGCTGCATAACCTGAAGAATGTAATCACTGTCACCGAGTTATAAGTGTAGAAATGATTTCACTGGTGTGCTTTGTTGTATATATTTCACATACAAAAACTAAATATGCACCATGGCCACAACAATGGTATACTTTATATCAGTAAGTCCAAAGATGGCTCAGGACTGGGAAACATTATATTCTGTTGGGAATGGGTACAACGAAGCCAGCTGACTGTAGAACACCTAACACCAGCAACTTAGGCTAGACCCTTCTCGGACTTGTGCTGTGTTTTCCTTTTTCCTGCTCCTACTATTACCTGTTAAGTTGTTCTTGAAGCAAATCTAGTCTTTGCTCTACTTCCCCGTATGTAAGGTCACTTTCAGTTTCGGATATCCCCCAGGCGCCTTGCTGCAGTGCTGAGGGACTAGACTCATCGGGCTGAGTCCGGATATTTTCGCGTTCCCAGCTTCGAGTGTCAGTGATATCTGTGGAAAATAGTAAAACCAACATCAACTTTTCGGGTGCCCCTTAGTATAGGTAACACATAGGTATCTATAAAACAAGTGAGAAGCAATCTTGGAGTACAAGCTGAAGGACCTATAAGCAGAAAGCCAGGATTCTGTACTTTAATATTGAGGCGAAAATTATAAAAGTGCAAAATCATTTTGTTTGTGATTTTGATTTTAAGATTTTAGAACTTTTTTCCACAGAAGAATTTGCTTGTTTCTTGACTCAGATTGAGTCCAAAAGAGAGCCACAGGAAACTGCTATCTTCAGGGCAAGTCCCTTAAGCCAACCAACTGAAATATATAGCCTGGGGTCATAAACCATTAGCTATGAGAAAATTCTAAAAAGTCCTTTAGCCCTCAAACCACTGTTTAATGTTTCATGTTTCTTTGTAGCTCCTTCTATACTGTCCTTAATATTCTCGCATCATTATCTAACAATTTTCCTTATGGCTCTTTTATTTGGAATATGTTTATGTTACTATACCTTAAATATACCGTATATTTTTATACTTCTCTACATTGCTTATCTGTGGAGGTCCACTTCTCAAAATTTCTGACTGTGAGCTATGTACCAGGCATTCTATTGAATGTTGATGAGCTAAAGATAAAGAAGATATAGGCTCCTAAAGAATTCCATGTAGCAAGATTATGATTATTTTTCATATAAAGATCCATTTTATGAGCATCTTTTATTTTAGTTTCTCTGATATTCTATTTTTTCAAGTTACCAATTCATGTGGACAAGTATAGCATCCTACTTTAAATTTCATTTTTGCCATCTACTCTTAATGTTTTTGCTATGCTTTCTCAAATTCAGCATTTTATTCCGAGAGGAGTTTAAAAATAAAGGGTTGGGAAATACAACCTTGAAAACCTGCTAATGGAGTTGAGAGTTCAGTTCAGAAATAAGGAAAATGAAGAAACATCTTTACCTTTACTAATTATGATGGTATAAGGGAAAGACTAAAGCTGGCCTTCATTTTCACATGGAATCCTAATGATATTAGATTTTCTTTTTCTTTTTTTTGACAAGTAGCTATGATTAAATACTGAGAAAAGTTATTATGTAAAGTGATAAAAGTTCTATCTTTGGCAATTTAAGAAAACATCCTCTGATTTGGGGAGGATTGAATATGATTCTAGAAATAAAGAACAAGATGGTAAGACTTCTTGAAATCACTTCCATTTCTAATTTCTCCAAAAATACAGAAAAGCAGTTCAAATATATTCCATTTCTACAAGTTTTGTTGTTAAGTACTGTCGACTTGGTTCTGACTTACAGTGACCCTGTATAAGATTTTCAAGGAGCAGCTGTTGGTTTTAAACTGCTGACCCTTTGGTTCACAATCCAGTGCTTGTCCTACAATGCCATACCAGGAGTTCATTTCTATAAGTAGCATACTCAATTTCTGTATCTTCATGGTTTTTCTCTCATTATCCTTTTATCACTGGATACACAGAAATTTCTCTAATGAGGTGTCTACAATTTCTGCCTGGGTAAGGGAAGGCTGTAACAAAGGAATTAGCACATTCAGGAGGAGAATTGGAAACCATAAGGTCAGGGTTCCTTCTACTACAAGACCTAAAAGACTTCAGAGAGCTCACCATGAATTATACAAGGGTCCTTTGTGATGAAAGCTTCCTTTGTTTTGGGGATCCTAGTGTTGCATTTTGCTTTTTTAAAGTGACAGCATATTGTTTCTTTTGATATGTTATCAAACTTGGCAAAATGAAAATGAACACAGAAAAGGAAGAAAAGTGACATTGTTGGAATTTTACATATTTTCCCAGCAGATTTTCACTGAGAAGTATGATTTGCTACTCAATAATATGTGTACCTATTTAAGAACAATGAATGTTTCAATCTGTTATTCAACTTCTTTTTTCAACTTTGAAACAGCAATGTCAAACAAAAACATTCGGAACACACCTATGAATGATTTGGTGACGCTGATGCTTGTCCCTTGTAGCCTCATTTTAGCCAGCTAATGGGGGAAGCTTTAAAGCAGACAAGAACTGATAAGGTTGAAGTTAAAGATTATGCTAAAAAAAGAAATATGTGAAGAAAGCTTACAGAATTTCTATCTATGCTTAACTGCTCTTTCATCTCCCTCATCATATATAATACATTTATGTTTAAATAAAAATGGTGACTCACATTCAATAAATTATAGATTATATATATTTTTCCAGAGCTCAAAAACTTAATTTTTTAAAAAGCAGGAATGAATAAAGTATAGAGTGCTAGAAAGAGGCTTCCTTGATTATAATTTGCTCTTATTAAAATCTGAAAAATGTGATGAAATTGTTTTACCTGTGATTTGAAAAATAAGGAGTTCAAAGAGAAAATTCTGGTTAGTGGTCCTAATCAAAATGAACATCCTTATAGATACTTTCTAAATATAGCTCAGAAAGAATCTGCACATGGTTGCCTTGGAAAATGTTGCTATAGTTGCAAGACATATTTCTGGAAAATGGATGAACAGAAAGTAAACTTTCACTTTGCTCTGAGTACACAATTTTCTTAGTGTCAATTTTGACCTCAATCTAAGTAGAATCAGAGTTCATTTAACTTTTTGGTTTTCTCTGTAGTTTTGCCTAAAATGTGCTCTTCTTGTGGATTCAACATGGTAAATGCTAGGAATGTGAGTCAGGGAAATTCCCCATTGATAGTAAAACTACAATGTGCAGAGATCTAGTAGTTTACCATGCTAGTAGTTACTGCTATTCCTTACATATTATTTCTGTTCTTGAACATTCCACAGTATTTTACCCTTAAAAATCACTAGGGGATAGAATTTGAAGTCAAGGAAGTTCTAAAATTCTCCGTTGGTTAATCGTATTAATTAACTAGGTTAGCAGCGAAGCGGTAGGACATGAATTCTCTTTACTTAGTTGGCATGCATCCTTAGCTAGGCATTTTCAAGTTCATTATTTATCATTTCAATCAGGATTGCATTATAAATAATTGAAACTAAAAATTGGTCGATAATAAAATTATTTGCTAGCATACTTTGGGGATCTTGTGCTAATTAAAAATAATTGGACAAAGTTGCAAAGAAAAATATAAGATGAAGGGCATGGCATTTCACTGTCAATGAAAGGCATTGCAAAGTAGAATACAATTCTAAACATATATCTTCTGTGACTTGTCACTAGAGAATCTAAAAAGTAAGGAGAATATGCAATAAAAGCACCTTATTATATGCTGACTTTGGAGGTAGCAAAGATGCCAGCAAGCACTTCAGAGCTCCTGATTTTCAGATACAACCTGTTTCTATTCTTAGCACTTCCCAGAGATCCATTTTAATAAATAACTAAAATGGGACATTTGGTAATCGTATTTGATAAGAATATTCCATTCTTGCAATGTGATAAATGAGGTGCTATTTTCATTCACTTCATCAAGATTTTAGATTGTCCAGAGAACATTTTCATATATTCTTAGCTTACTTCAACATGGGGTCATGGCAAAAGGTGATTTGATATGATAGGAAAAGTAATTCTGGATTAATGTAAAATCCTAGATTTAAGAAAGACTTTACTATCAGCTATGTTACTATCAAATAATAGTGATGATGCTAGATAATATTTACTTAATCTGTCCCATATGTTTTGCTAGTCTTTCAGGCCCCAAACGTCCCATTTTAATATAATTTTTGTTCAATTATTTAGATGTTTTGCTCTGCCTTCTTCATTTCTAGATTTTTATATATCCATGGATGTAATGAGACCTAGGGTAGCACTGTAGGACAAACACTGAACTGCTAACTGCAAGGTCAGTAGTTCAAATCCACCAGCCTTTTGGAAACCCTACACAGGGTTACTAAGAGTCAGAACTGACAGACAACAACAATAGGGATATAATAAATAATTCAAGTGTTAGGAGGAAAAACAAACAAACAAAAACCCATGAGAAAATACTAATTGAAGTTAGGGAATTTATTTCATAAAAGGTAATTTACAACTGTTATTTATCACAAATAATTAATTGGTTAGATGATATTATTATTCCTGTTTTAAAGATGTGAAAATTAAGTCTTAGGGGGATCAGTCAAGTCATTTGTACAAAGTCATAAAGAGAGCAAATGACAGAGTTGGGGTTGGAACACAAGTAGTCTGACCCAAACTTATTCTTAGGAACACTCAATGGCAAATCTAGCTAAATCTGTTCATTGGGCTCCACCACCACCATGGAGTCCTGGTGTGGCACTGTGGCTTAATGTGCTGGACTGAAAAGTCAGTTTGAACCACAATGTTGTCAATTCAAGCTCACCAGCTGCTCCTTAGAAACCTTATAGGGTCGCTATGGGTCAGAACTGACTTAATGGCGCTTAGCAACAACATCAACAGCTCCTGTTATGCTGTGTTAATTGTTTTTCCATTGTTTTCCTGAATTTGCCATCCTCTAGCATCAAATCTTTATACATTAATCAAGCATTAACATTCATCTCCTGGGTATATTCTAAAACAAAACCTATTTTGAATATCCTTTTTGGTAGGCATCCTAAATAAATTGTGTTCAAATAAGCTGCAACCTATATTATTTCTCCTCACTTTCTCATAATTCTTAGTTTATTTATTTATTTATTTATTTATTTTTGCATTTATTGTATTTTGCATTTACTGCCTGGCCTTTCATGCTATAAAATTACAGGGATGGAGGTGAGAAGTAGATAGAGAATGTTGTTGTTAAGTGCCATTGAGTTTGGCCTGTTGCATAGTGACACTCCGTATAGGATTTCCAAGGAATGGCTAGTGGGTTAGAACCACCTTGTGGTTAACAGTCCAGTGCTTATCCCACAGTGCCACAGAAGTATAGAATATACATATAAGAATTCAATAATGCTGTAGAGCATGAAATCGAAGGCTCTTTGCCTATGAATGACTCTAGGCTGTTGCTGTTGTTCAGTGCCGTGGAGTCTGCTCTGACTTATAGAGACCCTTTATAGAGTTTCTGAGGAATGGCTAGTGAGCCTGGACCACTGACCTTGCGGTTCAAACCAACCTTGCAGGGCATTAACCCACAGCGCTGTACACTCTTAAAATACTCATGGATCCCATCCCCACTGAAGACACTATAATTGACATTGCCACATTATTATTATTATTATTATTATTTTAAATGTCATTACATTATTTCTGGATAGTTACAAAACCTCTCATGGTTAGAAACAATCACTCATTGTAGAATCTTGTAAACACTTTGATGGCCTGAAGTCTGGACTCTGCAAATATTTTAATAAAATTGTAAAACTGAGTAGATTTTGTTAGAAGTCACCCTCTATGAGTAGCATTGAGGAGTGACAGGTTTCTGACTTACAAGAAACTTGATTACCTTTGCAAGAATGGCTTCTTTTGTCTATGTGGCTTCTTCCTGAGGTGGGCACTGTTTCTTCATAATTGAGTCCAGTTGCTTTCCCTGTTCCCAGAGGAGAATCTACTATTCCTGAGAAGAGTGGCTTTTGTTCATCATCAACGGAGGAGATGAAAGATGACGATCTGCTTTTTTTCTCTTCAAATTGTTTCTTGGAACTCTGATAATGTCTTATGGTATCTATAGAAACTTCAGGATCATTTGTGCTGTTTTCTTTGCCAAAATCTACCAAAGGAAAATAATTTTGTAGAAGACAATCAAATATGTGAATCTATGCATATTACACTATTGAGTTACATATAAAATACTTTTTTATGATCATGTTCTTTGAATAACTTGAACACAAAATTTTCTATAAAAACCACCAGAAAAATTGTTCTTCTTTTTCCAGTTGGAAAGTATTCCAAATAGAGAAGCATTTATTATTGTTATTATTTTAATTCCAGGCACATTGTTGTTGTTTTATGTGCGTGTGCAGTCGGTTCCAATTCATAGTGACCCTATGTACAAGGTTTCCGAGGCTGTAAATCTTTATGGTAGTAGAAAGCCTCATTTCTCTTCTGTGGAACAGCTGGTAGTTCGTACTGCTGACCATGAGATTAGCAGCCTGATTGTAACCACTACACTATCAGAGCTCCTTTTGTTGTTAGGTGCCACTGAGTCGGTACTGACCCATAGTGACCTTATGCACAGCAGAACGAAACACTGCCCGGTCCTGGTCCAATCTCACAATTGTTGCCACACTTGAGTCCATCGATGATGCCACTTGGCCAACCAGAGCTCCTTAGGTTATCTTAAATAGTTTATTTTAAAATAAAAATATCCGTAATAATAAGTTTATAATAATGTTACATCTCGAAAACAAACAAAAAATTATACACTAACTTACAAATTCATTTATACATGTTCAACAGTCATTTATATTTTGAAAATCTCATTTCACTATTTCTAGGAAAATGAAAAAGGCTAAGAAAAAGTTGTTCCTATTCTAAAATATCACCACAGAATAGCTTACCATTTGTCATCTCAATTCCCTATCATAGTTGGTGACTATTCATGCATTGTTGTTGCTGTTAAGTGCCATCGAGTCGATTCTGACCCATAGCAACCCTGTATTGGATTTCCTAGGACCAGCTGATGAGCTTGAGCCACCAACCTTGCAGTTCAAATGACTTTGCAGTCTGACACATTAGCCCACAGCGCAACACCAGGACTCCAAGGTAAAAATCGGAATCCTCTTTATGACAAATGCTGGTATGCCTAATTTCAACATTAATTGAATGCATATAACAGCCTTGAAATTTCAGGCTGTTTGGCTGTATAGCATACTGAGAAGGATATAAAGCTTGTTGTTTTAGTTGTTAGGTGCCATCGAGTCAGCACTGACTGATAGTGACCGTATGTACAACAGAATGAAACACTGCCCGTCCTGGTCCAACCTCACAATTGTTGCTACACTTGAGCCCATTGATGCTGCCACTTTACCAATCCATCTCGCTGGGGGTCTTCCTCTTTTTTTCTGACCCTCCACCTTACCAAACATGATATCCTTCTCCAGCGACTGGTCCCTCCTCACAATATGTCTGAAGTATGAGAGACGAAGTTTGGCCATCCTGGCCTCCAAGGAACACTCTCGCTGCACTTCTTCTAACACGAATCTGTTGGTTCTACGGGCAGCCCATGGCACTTTCAATATTCTCCTCCAACACCATAACTCAAAAGCATCAATTCCTCTACGGTCTTCCTTATTCACTGTCCAGCTTTCATATGCATATGAGGTTATTGAAAATACCATGGCTTGGGTCAGGTACAGGTCCTCAAGCTGGCATCTTTGCTCTTTAACACTTTAAAAATATAAAGCTTATATACAGTAATTAAGGTAGGTTTTACCCAATTACTCTAAAGCCAATAGTGCATATTGACTGTCTTGTACTAAGATGTCAGGATAATTTCAACCTTTAGACATGGTTAAAACCTGTGCTCTTTGACTCTGCTTGGCTGTGCTTACTTGGTTATTCACAGAAGGCCACATTAACTGATTAAAGGCCACTGCAGAGTGCCTTTCAACTATTATGTTAATATGCCTATATGGCATAGAAATAAAACAACTTGATTTCATATTTTTAAATAAAAAATGTAAAATATGAGAAACTAGAAAGTAGCCCAAGGTTAAAATTAATTAAGGTTTCAAAATAAACTTTATATCAAATTCTTATTGAATATTTATTTTTTCTGTCAATTAAAGTTCTATCTAGCAAAAGAAGATTCCTTAATTTGTTTTAAATACCCACACTTGTTCAATAATTTCATTATTTCTGGAAAGACCATAGACCTTCCAGATCTCAACTACTAATCTGTTGTGTAGTTTAGTCAATTCCAGCTAATAATGACACTGTATCGGGTTTCCAAGGAGTGAATGGTGAGTTTGAACCACTAAGCAGTCCAGTGCTTATCCTACAGTAATACACCAGGCCTATTAATTAGTTGATTGTAAATATTGTGACCTCTTCCCACACCAATCTTATTCTTTCCAGCATTGTTGACAATGGTTTCTGTTGAGGTGATTCAAGATTGTGGTGACTCCATGTGTGAAAGAGTAGAACTGTGTACAATAAAGTTTTCAAAGGGCCACACCCACCTTGTCTTTCTCAAATAATACTGCTGCTTTGACCCTGCTAACCCCTCCCCCCTGAATCTGGAGTCCTGGTGTGGTGCTGCAGAACAATGTGCTGGACTACAATGTGAGTGGTTCAAATCCAATGCACGGTCCTCAGAAACCCTGTACAGGGATCGCTACAGGTCGGAACTGACTTGATGGCACTTAACAAAAACAACACCAGGATCCAATCACCTTCGTTGTAGTCAGGTTCCCAAATATAGTGAGAGCTGTTCACACTATAAAATCCGACCTACATAGAAGAGCAAGCACATTAGTCTTTAAGTGCTTGGAATTCAATCATAAATTTATTTCGTTATATTTGTGGTGAAAGGTATACTTTGGGTTGATTACTGGAGTCCTACATAATAAATCCACTCTTAATTAATTGCAATTTCCTTAAATCTTTGGGTAGATTCCTTTATAGAATACCACCACAATTCTTCACCACTCATCAGTCAGTTTCTTGGATTGTGGTAGCTTGAGCATTGCTATGATACTGGAAGCTATGCCACCAGTATTTTAAATACCAGCAGAATCACAATGGTGGAAAGGTTTCAGCTGAGCTTCAAGACTAAGACAGTCTAGGAAGAAAGTGAAGCAATCTATTTCTGAATGGTTAGCCATGGAAAACCTTATGAAGAGCTGTGGAACACTGTCAGATAGCACAAGAATACTGAATATTGAAACATTATGAATATAACCAGAATATTATCAGATATAGTGCCAGAAGATGAGCTCTTCAGGTTGGAAGACACTCAAAATACAATTGGGGAAGAGCTGCCTCCTCAAAGTAGAGTTGGCCGTGATGGAGTAAAGTTTTCAGGACCTTTATCTGTTGATGGAGCATAGCTCAAAATGAGGAGAAACAGCTGTAAGCATCCATAAATAATCAGACCATGGCATGTACCAAATATGAATGTAGGAAAATTGGAATTTGTCAAAAATGAAATGCAATGCATAAAGATCAATATTCTAGATATTAGTAGGATGAAATGGACTGCTATTGGCCAGTTTGATCTGAAAATCATATTATTTACTATGCTAGAAATAACAAATTTATGCACCAACCATTAATGCTAATAATGAAATTAAAGAATGCTATCAAAATTGAAGAATTCTATCAACTTCTTCAGATTGGAATTGTTCAAACATGCAGTCAAGATGTATTCATAATTACTGGTGATCAGAATGCAAAGGTTAGAGAAAGGATTGGTAGTCGGAAAATATGGCCTTGGAGATTGAAATGATGTTGGCGATAACATGATAGAATTTTGTAAGACTAATGACTTCTTCATTGCAAATACCTTCTTACACAACATAAAACATGACTAGACACATGGACTTCAGCAAATGGAATACCTAGAAATTAAACTGATTATGTCTGTGAGAAGAGACAGTCAAAACTGTCATATCATCAGTCAAAACAAGGCCAGGGGCCCAGGGGCAAACTATGGAACAGTCAATCTTTTGTTCATATGCAAGTTCAGACTGAAGCTGAAGAAAATTAAAACAAGTCCACAAGAGTCAAAATATGACCCTGAATGTATCACAACTGAATTTAGAGATCATGTCAAGAATAGATTCATTGCATAAGACACTAATGACTGAACACCGAAAGAGCTGTGGGATGATATCAAGAACATCATACAGGAAGAAAGCAAAAGATCATTAAGAACAGTACCTACTATAAGAAGGAAAAGACCAAAATGAAGGTCAGAAAAGACTATGAAACTTGTTCTCCACCATTGCGCATTGCTGTCATTGTTAGGTGCCATTGAGTTGGTACCGACACATAGTGACCCTATGCACAATTGAACAAAACACTGCCCAGTCCTGGGCCAACCTCACAATCATTCCTACTCTGGAGCCCATCGCTGTCCTCCCTGTACCAATCCATCTCACTGGGGGTCTTCCTTATTTTCTCTAACCCTCCACTTTACCACACATGATACCCTTCTCCAGTGACTGGTCCCTCCTGATAATAGGTCCGAAATATGAAAGATGAAATTTTGCCATCCAGGCTTCTAGTGAGCACTTTGACTGTACTTCTTCCAATACAGATTGGTTTGTTCTTGTGGCAGTTCATGGCACTTTTAATATTCTCCTCCAACACTATGACTCAAATGCATCATTTCTTCTACTATCTTCTTAATTCACTGTCCAACTTTCACATGCATATGAGTTTATTGAAAATACTATATCTTGGGTCAGGCACACATTAATCCTCAAACTGACATCTTTGCTCTTCAACACTTTAAAGAGGTCTTGTGCAGCAGATTAGCACAATGCAGTGCATCATTTGATTGCTTGATTGCTGCCTTCGTGAATGCCTGATCTGAGCAAAAGGAAGTCTTTAACAACTTCAATCTTTTCTCCATTTATCTTGATACTGTTTACTGGTCCAGTTGTGAGGATTTTTGTTTTCTTTACATTGAGGTGTAACCCATACTGAAGGCTGTGGTCTTTGATCTTCATCCATAAGTATTTTAAGTCCTCTTGGCTTTCAGCAAGCAAGGTTGTATTGTCTGCATATCGCAAGTTATTAATGAGTCTT